TGTATATGTATATGTATATGTATTACATATGTATATGTATATGTATATGTATATGTATTTGTAGATGTATATGTATATGTATTGTATATGTATATGTATATGTATATGTATATGTATATGTATATGTATATGTATATGTATATGTATATGTATATGTATATGTATATGTATATGTATATGTATGTGTATATGTATTATATATGGATATGTATATGTATATGTATATGTATATGTATATGTATATGTATATGTATATGTATATGTATATGTATATGTATATGTATATGTATAAATATATATATACATATAATATATACATATATATATTTTAAAAAAAATACCCAGAAAAGTTATCATGTTTTTATTTTATACTACAAATTTACAATATGTACAAAGAAAACAAACCAAAACAAATGGATTTAAATAACTCTTGCCTTTTCTTTTCTCGCTTGTTGTGGACTTCTTGTGTTGTGTGAGTTGTGCAGTGGCTTTACTGGTACGTGGGGATTTGTGTGGGCTTGGGTCTTCGGGCCTTGTGGCTTGTTGGGGCTTGGGCTGCCAGTGGGCAGCTGTGGCTTTGGGCTGGAGGGTTTTTTATAAATATTAAAATATTTCTAAAAAATATATATTGAAACACGAAGGCAATTACTATGATATTACCAAATACGACTTTAGAATGATTGGATTCTCCTGCTAATAAAGTTCTTGAACCGGAATCCTAATACAGCAGGTAAAAAAACCTTTGAAATAATATCAATGTTGATAAATACCTATATCAGGAGTCATATTAAATTTAAAAAAATACTATTTACAAAAAATGATTGGCTACATGCTAAGTCATTTAGTCTGAGCAATTCGAGGTTCATTCAATCGACTAATTCACTCCAAATCTTTAAAAAATATCTCAAAACGAAACTGAAAAAAAGCGAAAAAGCCGATACTGTACGCAGAATATTTAATATAACAATATTTATATATAAAAATAGGATTTAGGGTTTAGTAGTAGTAGGCTATGAATTTTAAATTTTTGATGCACATTCGAAGGATATGAATATATTTATATTTTGGCCTTCTGCAAATTAGACATATTGGGTAATTTGTTTTTACAAAAAACAGAAACAAAATATAGAAATATAATCTGCATAGTCATTTTCACTTTTTGGCTTTTATCCACGCGGGAACCTGAAAGAGAGTAAATAGAGAGTAGACCCTCTCTAGAAAGAAGGACTTGAATTTACTCTCTCTTGAGGAGACATGAGAGTTGAGAGTAGACACTACAAACTACTTACCGAAATAAAAATTTGAGGCCGCGGAGTGAAGCGGAGTCCGGAGATCGTGGGGTGTTTAGGGGGGGTTTGGAAGACTCCAAACTCAACTCCAAGTCTCCAACTTCCAAAGTTCCAATTCCTAAACTTGGGCCCAAAATCTATATTTAATCCAACCATAAAAAATCGACTTGTGGCAAATTTCAGCCCATCCAGGCATCCACGTCAGGCCATACATCACATCATTCAGATACGTATTGTACGTTTTCTTAACAGATTTAGAAAGAGTCCTTCATCCTATTTCTTAACTATGAATCTATGTCCAAAATTATTTATTCTTCATAATTGATAATTAGCATTAAGAATAAGATATTCCCGATTTTATATCACACATTACATAATTAAGAAAAAGGAATTATTCATTGATGAACATAACTTATTAATTTTGCTATAGTTCTTTAATATTATTTCTTATTAAGAAATAATAAGAAATATATATATTATTAAGATTAAGTTATCAATATATATCCATATTTCATTCTTAATATGTCACACGAGTGACACTGTGACAGACAGACCCTTGGTGACTCATCGCAATCAGGCCTGAATCGCCTGATCACATTTCACAAGTATTTAGACACAGAACAATAAGAAGTTGGGAATACAACTGTGACACACACGACATTAACCACACCCCCATGTGGACACACATCAACATGTGCACTGACATTATATGCATGATATATGCACATGTTTCACATGCATATGATAGCAGTGCACATGTGAGTATGTGTCCACATGTGTGTGTGTGTGCACATGTGTGTGGTCCATGCATCAGGCTGTGACACAAGTTTATCGACAAAAATGCATCATGTCATCATATGCATGATGCATATATATGTATACACACACACGTTAGTACCCAGTGCACACAGGAAAACAATACACACACATGTATACACACATACACACACACACACACACACGTGCACACGCACTCACACATGGACACACACGAACATGTGCACTAACATTATATGCATGATGTATGCACATGTTTCACATGCATATGATAGCTGTGCATATGTTAGTATGTGCCCACACGTGTGTGTATGTGCCTATGTGTGTGGTCCATATATATATA